GGTTGTCAAGATGTCCCATACATATGAGACTGTACCTCATTTTGCTCTATAAGGAAAGTTTTAAGAGGTGTCACTTCAAAGGTTTTGTTGCATCCTAACACTTTTATTCACTACGGAATTCAGAGAACTTGACTAACGATAATAAGCACTGACTGAGTTCTGTGAGGATAAAGTGCTCAAGAAACAGAAAAAAAAAGTACAGTCGTCCCTGTGCTTCCTTAATTAAGCACAATCACAAGATGTATGGAGGAGTGGATGCAGACCTCTGCCATCCTTAACCTTGGCACTAGATGGAACTCATGTAAATATTGCTTATTTACTTCTTCCTAGATTGCATCATGTCTGTGTCAGTTTAAGAGAATTTACAGACATACAATCTGTCACACAAGTAATTAACAATGATAACCACGTTCTTGGCTTGTTACACCATGCGGATGTGGGTGATGCTGCTGATATTTTGGATGTCTGTGTATACATAGCATTCTGCTTGGAAAAGCAATGAGAGGAGTTGGGGTTCCTACCTCCTCTAAGCCTGTAAAGAGGCAATGGACTGGGAAGCTGTGATGATGGCCCTTTAAGGGTCCACAAGTGCATCGTGATTTCCACTGGCAACTGATGTTCTGGAGCAGTCAATAACCCATCCAAGTGTTCACCAAATATAACATTGCTGTGTGTCGGTCAAGCAGTGTGGTGAGTAGTGGGCTGATCACCTTGAAATTACCCCTTCCACTGCTTATTTTTGAAATGCCATACATACACAGCAACTCACCAACTTACATACATCGACCCTGAAGATGGAGGTAACAAGTATCCCTGAAATGTCTGCAACACTGTCCATACCAACATCATGTAACAGCCCAAAAACAAAATTAACATCAACAATTAACCACTGCAAAACCTAAAATCAGTAATAACAATATATATCTCGCTGTTAGCCACCCACACTTCAAGTTCAGACATGACTGACGAAAACAAACACTTTTCAGAACATGTCCAGGAAAAGTGGAACCCCCGCTGCTTACAAGTTAATTTAACAGAAGTTCAATTACGAAGGGCGCTCCATATATAATGCCTCCTATTCTTTTGTGTTAATCTGTAACATCTGAGCTGGATATTGGTGGTGTTGTAGTAAAGGTTGACCCTCCCCGCCAATGTACTGTTAGTTTGGTTGTCATGCAAGATATAGTGACAGCAGAGAGGTCTACCAAAATGGCATCTGACACAGAAGTGCATACGAAACAGAGATGTTATTGAATTTCTCACTGCCGAACAAATTTCATCCACTGACGTACATTGATGCTTGCTAAAGGTGTACGGAGACGATACAGTGGATGTCAGCACAGTGAGGCGGTGGGTAGTGCGTTTCAACAGTGGTGAAAGTGAAGTGCACGACAAACCACAACCTTGGCGTCCCTGCTCAGCTGCCACTCCTCACGATGAACAGAAACTCGATCAGCTCATCCATACAGATGGGCGGATAACGACCATGGAACTGTGTGCATGGCTTAATATCGGCTCTAATGCATTGGAAATGATGTTGGGGAAGCTGGATTATCGCAAAGTTTGTTCCAGGTGGGTCCTGAGGATGCTTACATAGGACCACAAAACTCATTGAATGGAAATCTGTCAGGACCTGTTGCACCAGTCTGAGGCTGAAGGTAACAAGTTTCTGGACGGCATCATCACTGGAGATGAGACGTGGTGTCAGCACTATGAGCCGGAATCCAAAAGACAGTCCATGGAGTGGCGACACCCGGAGTCCCCAAGAAGAAAGTTCAAGACATAGCCATCGGCAGGGAAAGTGATCTGCATGGTCTTTTGGGATAGGCGGGGTGTGATTTTGTTAGATTTCCTAGAGCCTGATTAGACTGTCAATTCTGAACGCTACAAGACGACACTGACTAAGCTGGTAGCCCGCATTTACCGAGTCAGGTCAGAGAAGCAGACAACATATCACTTGCAACATGATGGCACTAGACCCCATACCAGTTTGTGACCACCGCACACATTGCAAAGTTTGGCTGGACTGTCCTACCACATCCCCCTTATAGCCCCAATTTAGCACCTTCAGACTTCCATCTCTTTTGGCCTATGAAAGACTGACTACTGGGCAACATTTTCCAGACAACGATGCTGTCATTGCAGCTGTAAGAAAGTGGCTTGCATCTGCTGGTGCAGACTTTTATGGGCACGGCATACAGGCTCTTGCTCATCGCTGGCGAAAGTGCATAACAAATGGTGGTGATTATGTGGAAAAATTACTGTAAGTAGCTGAAATCTTGCTCTATTTAACTGTGTTATTATGCTTTCTGTATCTGTTGTAGTTTTCAATAAAAAAATAGGAGGCATTATATACAGAACGCTCCTCATATAAACAAGTTTGGGGAAGAACTAATCACCTACTTTCCTTTTATATGGCACTAACCGCACAGAAGATTGTAGCCGATTCTTCTACTGTTGCATGTGTATTTGTTGCTGCAGGAACATGTTCACCAAGCTGCTGCCTTACAACTAGGCCATTGCCTAGCAAAGATAAGGGATACACACACAGACATAGGGATCATAGGTTAACATCAAAGGAACTGTTGAAGGCAGTGTTTTCTCTTAGGTATTATCCAAAATTATACAGGGCGAACAACTCAGGACTATGGCTAGCAGTCAGTGACAGTGTGCAGAAACCTGAGAGTTGAAAGACCTAATTACCAAGTTGTTGCCAAGCAATGGTCATCTCTGTGGTACTACTGCGATTTTCTGGCATCTCATATGTGTCTGTATGATGTAACAGCTGTATCCTCTGGCTCCACTATTAAAGCTTTCTGGAATTAGGGGGGATACACAGACACATAGACAGCAAGGTGATCTCATAAGCCTTTTATTTTCTCAAAATGAGGAAAGTAGGCTAATAAAAACACATATTCCCATTAGAGGAGCTATTTTCTACAACAACAACAAAATATTACTACATGAATATCCGTATCACATCAAAAGTGACAATTCTAAACAGTTTCAGTGTAGTAAAATTAAATTTCTGAACCAACATTTTCCTTCTGTTTTAAAACCTTTTTAAGGATCAGGAAGAATTCACTCTTAAAATTTTAAATTTAGTCATAGAACAAGAAACACATTTAAATAATACTAGTTCCTCATATTTCCCTACATCATTCGTCAACATATTCTAATAGCTATCTTCTGACTGCTGACTGCATAGTCCTTTCAATGCACTGTAAATTTAGCAATGGATCCAACACTATATGCAGCCATCTGATCTCTTGCAGGCCAGCCAAAAGCTTGGAATCTGTGTACTGAACAGCCACCTGATGACGGTTCTCTCAAATCAAAACACACAGTGGATAATAATATATATCAGCAAGGTATTTATATTATTACTTTTAGCTTGCATGACAGATCTAAATCAGTTTATTTATATTTGCGTCTATATAATATATCTGATGTGTTGGCTTATGGACAAAATTGTAGTAGATGCAATGCAGAACAGGCGTCTCTCTAATTATTTTCACCATCAATTAAATATTCTAAAAATCATGAAGTTTTGATGAAGTGGACTTAACTGTACCAGACTGTGTTACTCCTACATAACTGCCATAGAAGAAACTGGCAAAGAGAGCTCACAATTGACATCCCAGTAACTAAAATGATTTGATTATGCAAATACATTTTCTTTTACTAACTTTACAAAACAATTATACAGAAATATGCACATAATTTATATATCAAAAGCTTTTTTTGCATAATATACACAAAAGGCAACTGCACTGCTGATTAGAGTAAAAAACAGCTTTAAGAACTTCAGGTAACAATATAATACTGGTACCTGAATTATATAAAGGCATTTAAGTAAACCTGTTGCCTACTGCAGTAAATTATATTGTACTTCACTTTCATATTACTCACATAATGAGGGCCTGACAATGGGAACATGTAAAAACTGTTTCAAGTGTGGAAAACTTGGCACCATGTACATATCAAAACTCATTTTTTATAGTACAATCTTTCTGATGAGCTAATGTAGTTTTAAAATTATTTACTTTTAAGAAGACAACCTTTGACTACCAAAAGCACATAAACAATTTCATGGAGAACTGTCCATTCATGGGTTATGGCATTACAAATGGAACCAAGTCTCTGTTTAAGAACCAAACAATCTTACAAAAATGTGCAGATCAGCTTACATCCTGGCAGCCTCTCTATATTCACCAAACATGCACAGTCCCTGGGATAAAAGATGACTTCAATTGTGACAAATGTCAATACTCATAGGAATGCTTCTATTGGTTCTGTCTGTCTGTTCTTTCAGCCAGAAAGAGAGAACAGTCTTTAAAGACTGTGTTCAACTTGCATGTATAAAAAGTTATGCTTATCTGCATCGATGCTGAGCACTCCAAATTACACAGCTGACATGGCTACTATAACCCAATATTGGCCTACTGAAATTTCCAGTGTACTTCTATGACATCACTGAAAAGGCAAGATGCATGAAAAGCAGGAGTTTACTGTGTCTTTACCAAAATGGGGAAAGACACACACTATTCAGATGGCCATGAAATAAGATAATTTATTAATGTTGTATTTTAGCGTCCTGTTGCACTGATTCACGTCCATGATGCACCTGAGGATGGCACAGTGATGCGGAAACATGTAGAGAAGTGACAAGTGAGATTGTGTGCACTAGAAGACGGTCAATACATACACATCATGGAAGATAATTTATACTCGAGGATAATGGAAACCATAATCTTTACAAAAGCAATACTTGAAAATCAATATTGTAACTTCAAAAACGGTACAAAATAAGACACCAATCTGTATGAATAAAGGTGGTTGTAATGGACAAAGTAAGATGGAACAGGGGCTCTCAAACTGCAGGACATGAACAAATGTGAAAAATGATGCTTCTTACCTTGTAATAAATATTTACACTTCGAGACTGTGATACTTGTAATATTGCTGAATGTTCACTTCTGATGTGATGGTTTTGTATGAATTTCCAACAATCTCAGCTGTGTAGGCTAGTTCTATATCTTTGCTAATCTTACTCCAGCAGTTATCACACCTTCATAGTCTTCTATCCTTTTCATTACATTCTTGAACTCCTCGCAAAAATGCCAGCAATACACCTAACAGTACTAATCCAACCCTGCAAAAACTGTCTATACAATCCTCTCATTCAGTCCTTTGTGCAATTAGCAATTGAACAGTTTTTACTGACAGGTCAGTGGTACTGTTTCTTAGTGCATCTGATCATCCACAGGTTTGTTCAATAGTGTAATACATTCCTTCCCATCGTTTCTTTTTAAGTTTTAATAAATGCTTCACCATGGACGAATGGGTTATTCATGAACCTACTGCTAAGACACCTAAATGTGATAGTAATGAACCTCGCACAAGTGCCAATCAACATCTCACATCAGAAAACGTTCCTGCCGCCACCTCAGCAACGAGCAGAATCAGTTATTAAGTGTTGGAAATGTTACAGTTGCAAGATTTAGCAGAGGAAATCTGAGAAAATTCCATGAAGCCCATCTTGAACATGGATTTCTTTATTCCACTACTGATTGCAAGAAGTGTCCAGTGTCTGAATTGCTGAAAAATATTGGCATGAAACCTATAAAATTGGTAAGACTGAGAGTTAGAGAACATGTGGAATTTAAAAACAAGCCAACTCACTTTTCTTAGAGGAAAATGAAAAGCCTGTGAGCAGAAAGCATTGACAAACAACATAGAACAGCTCCAAAACAGGCACTGAGAACATCACAATCAAGTTAAAAAGCCAACAATTTGCAACTGAATTTGACAAATCAATCAATATTTAAAATTTAGGACAATTTCTTACACATGTGTCTTACTGCTTTGAGAACTGTGTGCATGAAGACCTACTGTTTTGTCAACCAATGGAAGGAAACACAGGTGAAGACATTTTTTGCAAAATTAAGAGTTCATAGAAAATGAACAGTTGTGGAATAAATGTGTTGCTGCTCTTGGCAAAAAAAAAAAACACAACCATTAATGCTGATGATGAAATTTATATACACTGTATCAGTGGAAAGCAGACACTGGACACAAAGAAAATTACCCCTGACCACAGCAAACTCCTACAAGAAGCACTTACTGTAGTAAACTTCATTAGCAACTGGGTTCTAAATTATCCATTCTATTCAAAACTGTGCAAAGCCATGGAATGCAACCATGAAGAAGCATTTCATGTGCAAATATAAGATGGCTATCTAGCGAAGATTTGCAAAAATTGGTGAAACTTAGAAGAGAGAAGAACGCACGTGTGCACACACACAAAATGGGTTTGTCAGGAAAATTTCAACTTGGAAACAAAAAGCTGTAAACTGGAATCTTCAGTCATTGACAACATTATATTCAAGACAACTAACCACCTTGGGATCTTGCTAATATTTCCTAAGGTACTGGAATATCAAAACCATGACTGGATCAGGCTGCTTTTCGATGCACCATCAGAGGAAACGCAACACATTTCACTGACTGTTCAAGTGACAGGACTCTTCAACTGGTGTTCCAGAATTAGGATATGTGCAACTTTCAGCTAACTGTCAGAGATGAATATTTGGCTGTTGAAGAATTCACAATTCATATTCTCTTGCTGTTTGTGCCATCTTGACTTGTAATCAGCATTTTCTACATTACTGTACATTACATCAAAGTACAGCAGATGCCTTGAGGGTGTCAAGGACGATCTGAGGGTGGAATCATGTTATTAAAGTGCTACAGCAGGGGAGGAGTAAACTAAAGTACACTAAAGTTGTCTCTGTACTTAATTAAGCACTATGCTATGATATATTAGGGAGTGCAGGTATAGGTTAATCATTCTTGACATCTGCAGCAGATGGAGGTGAGCAGTCACTTTCATGTCACAGTAGCTTTATCCCTGAGGAAAGAGCCCCCAGAACCCATGGGATAGGAGGCTGGGTAGGTCCCAGAGTCAGTCTGAACACTATGGAGAAGAGAAAAATCTTGACACTGCTGGAAACTGGACCCCAGCAGTCTAGCCCGTAGCCCATCGCTATACCAACTCTTCATTAAGAAGGTAAATGTTTAAAATATTTATATACATACAGGCTACCATTGCATACTTTTAATACTGTTTTTTTGTCATCTTTTATATTGTTTAGCTATACAATAAGTGGATAGGTCGCTATAAGGCATCTAATTTTGGTATACAATAAGTATACAATACAAACTACAAAGAAGTTTAAAAACCTCTTGATTAGAATATACAAGTGGACCACCATAGTTTGGTCACATCTGATATATAACATGTAATGCTGAAAAATAGACCCCTACAAAGAGAAACAAAAGCAACATCCAAAAAATTGGATATGAAAATTCTGGGAAATATTGAGAGAGAATGGAGAAAATTATAGACAAAATGTTTTTGAGAAGCAGGATCCAAGTGTTTGTTAGTGGAGTTAAGACGTATGAATAAAATGATTTAGCCATGTAAAAAGGATGGACTGAACAAGGACACCAAGAAGTTCGTTAACAGCTGAAATTTAAATGAAAGGGACCTACGAGATGATCCAGAAGAAGGGAGAAAACAGGTGGCAAGAAATCAAAATGGAAAGATTGTAAATAGAATAAAGATATCAGACTTCTGTCCATCAATCCTATAAAACAGGAATGATGTTAGGAGAAGATATTCAGATCATAACAGCACAATATAACATTTTCAATCTACTAAACCGCTCTGAAGAAAATGAGGGGGGGGGGTGAAAGAAATTTTATACTGCAATCTACAGGTAACCTCTAAAATGGTTATTAAGGACAATTAATTATCCTCCTGGGAGATTTTTAACAGACAATACAAAGAACCATTTTGCTATTAGGATACATTTACCATGCAAAACAAAAATGTGTTGCCTGTAATATGTGACTAAAGATTTCCAACAAAAATTAAACACACCTATAATTAATGCACTGTTTAAGAGACATAAAACAATATTAAGTATACACTAGACAAAGCAATAGCTGATCATCACAGTGGCTGCATGGTCTAAGGCATGAACTGAGTTTGCCTGCTCAAACACTGGGATTGTGGGTTCAAATTCCACTCAGGCATGGATGATTTTTGTGCATTTATTCTGAGTTTGCATTGTTCTGAGTGTAGATAGCAGCCTTGCAACCCACTGATCGCCCCTCCAAGGAGTCCTACTGACTCTGTATAGGATTAAGAAACTGAAAAAGCAGCCAAGGTCCAAAAGATGGATAGAGAAAGCAATGTTGATCAACTTGTTCAGTAATCTATCATGAGTAGGACTAGAGCTAATGCATTGCTATCAACTTCCCTAAGATGCTCTGTCACACTGCACAGAACATAAACTAAGCAAGAGCCAGCACAGATTACCAGCAACAGTAACAAATCAATGATTATCTCCTCCATGCTCATACTGCCCTCAGAAAAAAAGTACTTTGAAACCTTGATATCAACCTTCAGGCCAGAGTACGTTATATTCCACCATGACCCATTCTCCAGGAGGTGGCCAATATCAAAAACACTGCAAAACATTAAAGTAAGAGTCTGCAGTACTGTAAAAGCCATTCTTTCCTCTCAAAATTCATACAGAGCATAAAGCAGGCTACCAAAATACTGGCAGTATTTTAAAAACGTGGAAAAATTACATTGGAAGCTACAGGACATGAGTCAAAAGAAAGACAACTTTGGCTATCAATAAACATATTTTTGTGACACACTAAAAATATAAACTTTATCCAGTGCACCCTTAAAGAGACTTACACACCCATGGACAACATAAATACTCTTTTTCTAATATTATATTTCAGCATCCTGTTGCATCTGACATTCTGTCTTACAATGCAACGTGCACTGAGTTTTGTGATGACTGTACAGTTGCTCTCACTGTTTACTTTCATACGACATGTTTTGGTCTGTACAAGATCATCACAAGGTGTATTTCTTGCAAGCTGAGGCACTGTGTTTATTTTGTTAAGTGAAGCACTCATTAAAAACTGAAACTAAATAAGCATTAAAGGTATTAATGTTACTTTCATAAGAATGTGATTTCTATGCTTTTTGTAACTTTATGAACACTCTGATGCTGCTTCTTGTTGGCTCACACCGCAGAATTTCATTGCTGGTGTTCAGCTATTAAACATGTCTTCCATATGAGTACTATGCTGCATTATTCTTTGTGGGCTCATGGTGTAGTATGTCAGTGATGTCCATTTGTCCATGTTTTCATGCGATATGCAGATGTGTAGTCTCTACCAGACAGACAGAGGCACCACACTGCCAACACATCTGCCCATCACCTAAAAACAGGAGCAGTTCCAATGGACAGATGAACATCACTGAAATACTATACCACGACCCCACAGAGTAGTGCATCCCAGTCTTCACCAGGTTATGGGAAACACATTTCTAACAACTGAACTCCAGCAACAAAAATCTGCAGTGCAAGCCTACAAGAAGCTGCATCACAGTTTTCATAAAGTTATGAAAATCATGTTCTTATCAGCATAACATTATATACTGTGACGTGTATAACCATTGCTAGGCAATGACCTGGTAAACACATTCCCGCAAATTTCGTGTACACAACAGAAGGATGTTCATGGCTAGGTAATGGACCAGTAAACATGCTTCCCTAATAATAACAGAGGTGTTTTCTGTGTGGTCCATGCTGAGGGGTTATAAAAGGACACAGTCAATAGAAAATCAGTTTAGTCAAGTCGAGTTCTGAGAAGCCAGCCTGCTGGGATATCAGCTTGGAACTGAATTTAGCTGAAGTTCCAAAATAACAGCAGGAAGCCTGTGCAAAGACTTTGTCTGTGATTTGAAGTGTCAGGCTGTTACCAATCCATTGCTAAGAAACAACTAGTGAAGACAGAATCCTAGTGTGTGGGCAACGGCGAACTGAAAATTTGTAGAGTAGCGACAGCGCTGTATTGCCTGTACTCCCGAGTAATGGATGTATATGGTGTCAACAAATCAAATCAGACAATCCAAAACCCTGCACAAATCCCTACACATGACAGTACTTTTTTATTCAACTTTAATTTTTAATATGTGCTTCATTTTACAAAATGGAGAGTGTTGCAATGTACAAGAATGATGGTCTTATACAGACTAAAACATGTTATATAAATATAAATAAAGAAGAATACATAAGTGAAATGCAGCAGTGAGAACAGGTGCAGTCATCACAAAACTTGACAAACACTACATTGTATGACAGTGGAAAACAGTGCTAAGATCTTTTATTCTCTTATTAACAAGACCTATTTTCTTTACACATGTAGTAAATGTTTAGAAAAAATTAAATGTCTTCAACTGTGAAATAGGTAATATGAGTTACAACTCTGTTGGTAGATGTATGTGGGTGTCTACACAACTACATCCAATGCAGAAATATTCATAGACTGACAGACAGCAAAACCAATTACCACACCGTTCCCAAGCAAGAGTTTTATGCTTGCACCAAAGTGGACTGGCTTATTAGTAGTATTCTAAATTTTTGGCATTTTCCTTTTATATGTCAAAGGATTTTTACTATTTCATTTCATATTCCTGCATTTCTAACAACACTGAAACGATGCTGAATACTTTTAAGACACGAAGAAACAAAATAAACTAGCAACGCTTAACAGTATGCCCAGATATGGTGCCTTACATTACCACATGAACATGATCAGTTCTAAGACACTCAATAGTCAACTGATAATTCATACATATGTAATCATTCTATATTATATTCAAATTTTTTCAGTACTAACCATTATCACATATTACGTAGCGCAGTATCCAGTAAAATCTAGTACCAGTACTTTAATTTGATTGTATTTTAATGACACTGTTTTAAAGCTTCTGAACACATTGGGTAATAAGCATCTGACTTTAACATGCATCCAGGCTGTAAAAGCATTGGCCATCTCATGGCAAAGTATGATTCCATTAGCAACATATTGACTCCATCATCTGCTTTCAAACTGCTAAATATTAAAGAGATTTGTCTGCAATGCATTAAAAAAACATGTAACAAATATAAAGTACCAAGATTATGTAAGGTTTCTAACTAGGCTACTCTTCAAACTTCTTAACTTTTCTAAGAATTACAAGGAAAAAATGTACAAACAAAATGAAGCCCACTGTATCAGTCTTGTTACAGGAAGCCCACAAAGACCAAATACGAGGATACACTCAAGGCCTACAGTAGCACAACCAGAACAAGAGACTGCACAAAGGGCATGAAAGGAAAGTGCATTACAGTATAGTATGCAGGTATACATACAACTGAATAAGAAGATTAACAGACTCCATGAACTATGTCCATCTTGCCAATAATGCCATGTAAAGCACAGCAACTATCAAATCTGACGTAGCACAATTCTGGACATCAGGTCTAGTAGATTACCATGTAGTTCATCCTGCCTCTTCATTCAGATCAGTGCGATTGCAGGCAAAATGTACTTAATGTACATTACAACAACCTACACCTTCCCTTCTTCTTCTTCTTCACCTGAAATACAGAAAAGAAAAATTAACAAGACAATGGTAACATTTGGTTGAATGGAGTGCACTGAATTCCTGTTCTGCTTTTGGGTGAGGCTCTCATACATAAGAACCACTTATTGCTACATACACAAATCCCTCACATTGCCTCCTTGCTTTTTGTTAAAAAAAAAAAGCTTCTGTCACTGAAAACATTTCCTTTCTCAGTCACCTTTCAATTCAAGCTACATTCTAAACAAAGAAATGAACACTTATCTACAAAGTGGTCTCTGTACCACTACCATTCAGTGTCCTACACTGGGTAGCAGTGTAGCCTGGATGCTACATACACAGTGCTGAAGGTAAGAAATTAGGTATGGGGTGAGGCAATGAATGGTATTAATATCATACCGTTTTATAAAACTAATTCGCATAGTGGAGGGGGGGGGTGGAGTCCAGCTGGGTCCACTCAACATGTCGGCCACTGATTGGCCTATTGTACCTGCCCTGGGTGATTATGATTATGGAAAATTTGGTGGAATGAAGATTGGCAGCGGAACCAAAGTACTCGGAGAAAACCCAAACCAGCACTACTTTGTCCACCACAAATCCCACTTGACCAGACCTGGGCTCGAACCCAGACTACTACGTTTATAAAAATTAGCCAGCAGATTTAAAACTTATTAAAGGAGGTCTTCACACTCTGTAGAACTGAATTTTGTACTGGCATCCATATCAATATCCAATTTAAATACAACAAAATTCTTATGAGATTTGAAACGCTGACATTATAGCATACCTGTAATGCAGCCCTAGTTGCAGTCTCAAACACTTCACGAACACCTTCTTTGCTTTTGGCAGAACATTCCAAATATGCAAATGCATTAATCTTCTCTGCCATCGCCCGGCCTTCTTCCGGCTTTACAGGCTCCTGTTTCATCTTACCAAGTTCTTTAATTGTGTTAGGGTCATTCCGCAAATCCTAACATCAAAGAAAAACTATAAGGACACACCACATGACACATAAAAAAAACAATTATAAGAATCGTATAAATAAAAAAACCTTAATAACTTTCTGCCACTTCAAATTTAGAAGTACACTATCACAAGAGGTACATTCTCTGGTGATAATAACCTTAATAATAAATATTACTTCATACTGAGTTGCTGAATTGTTCCCTACACCAATTCCATCTAAATCAAATAAAAAATTATAGTAAATCCTTGTTATAATAGATTTTGTATATAAACGACAAACTTTGGCTGTTTATATAGTACATTTACTGCGTCTATTGGCTACGTATCCTATGCTGTACTTCTGTGAATAGCCCTTCACTCAGCTGTAGTGGGCATCAGCGACAATGGATATCCTGTCCCCCCTATCAGTAAGGATACCACCGTGGGACAATGACCAGGAAACATGCACCCAAAGTGGCCAAGAGAACACGTCTAAATAATATATGCACAATCGAATTTTGCCTGGATGAAAACTGTTCACTTTGTGAAAATGAATGATGAGATCTGTACGCATACTAGGAAATTTAATTCAATTATGCAATTGAAAATCACTAACAATGTTCAAACCTGCAGAGAAACATAAGCATACAAATCTTACCTTCTTGTTTCCAACAAGAATAATTGGAACATTAGGGCAAAAATGCTTTACTTCAGGGGTCCATTTCTCTGGAATATTTTCCAATGAATCTGGCGAGTCAATGGAAAAACACATTAATATGACATCTGTGTCCGGGTAAGACAAGGGTCGTAGCCTGTCATAGTCCTCCTGTCCTGCTGTATCCCATAGTGCCAGCTCTACCTGCAGGTGAACAACAAAGGATATCAAAACCTGGAGTAGCAGAATGCACATAATCTGCCTATATTTCTTGACCCCTGTGTGGGCTGCTGATTGAAAACACATATTGCAAAATTTGATATTATACATGTTGACATGAACACTCATATGGATTGAGCCTAAGTCTATAATAATGAAATTAATTGTAACATGGAGAGCTGCCTCTGGAATGAAAATTATCTCAAGCATTTGAAATCATTGTTCAATGTGTACTGACATTTCACTGTGTCATGTCATGGCAGAAAATATCAGAACACATGTGGAGCGGCTACAAAATAACCGGATTAATTTTTTTTGCCAACTCCCTGTGGCCTTGGCAACAGCGAGTGGGATGGCATATTACCCTGTCCTCTCCTCTCCATCAACACTATTACTTCCAAGGCCATACGGCCAACAGTGTGGTAGCAGCCTTTGTTTGAAGCGGACCGTGTATCTGAGCTCCGTTGGAATTATGTTAAGTGTTAAAGCAGAACAATGTGTCGATGTGAAATTTCTCACGAAACTTGGAAAATCTGCCACAGAAACATACAGCTTGTAGATGGAAGTTCATGGTGCTGAATGCCTATCTTGTACTCAAGTTTCCAAGTGGTTCAAAAGGTTTAAAGAGGGAAGGGGAGAGACTGAAGAAGATCCACATCCCAGTAGGCTTTGCACATCAAAAACAGATGCTAACACTGAAAAAGTTGGTTAAATTGTTAAAAAAAAATAATTGCTTGCGCATTCAAGCAGTTGTTGAATTAGCTAACATTGATAAAGAAAGTGTTCAACAGATTTTACATGAACAATTTAACATGAAAAAGTGTGCTCAAAGACGGTGCCCAGAATCTGCAGTCCTGAGCAAAAGGAAACTCGAATGAACATTTGTGCTGACATCCTTACTTACTTACTTACTCACTCATGGAGCTGAGCCCTTCTGGAGGAGCCGCAAATTCTGCAGCTACTCAAGAATTTCCCAGCATTTTATGGAACCCAAAGGTTCCATTACCGTGTTCACAAGAGCCCTCCACTGGTCCCTATTCTGAGCCAGATCTATCCAATCCATACCAGCCCATCCCAGCTCTCTAAAGCCGGGTCCAGACTTGTTGCGTATCCCCATATCGTATCAGTGTGGACGGTACCCCGTATCATCCTTCCGTTGGAAAATGATACGCAACGGGCTGTTTGCTCGCTTGGCAGTCTTTTCCCGTCGCATCAAAGGCACGACTCGGGTTGCAGTGGTGCCAGTCTGGACCTACAGGCGGCTGCATCGCGCTTTGCTTATCAGCTCCAGACAGTTGGAGTGTAGTCATCACCAGTGTGCGTTCTTCTGTTTGTGATTCTCTGTTTATATACTCTGAATGGAGTGGAGTGGAGATACGCAACAAGTCTGGACCCAGCTTAAGATCCATTCTAACATCCTTCACAACACTGGAAATGATCCACACTTCTTAGGAATGTAATGCCTTGTGATGAATTGTGGTTTTCTTCAGTATGACCCGGAAACTAAGCGCCAATCCATGCACTGGAAGAGTCCCAGATAACCAAGGGAAAAAAAAGCACAGAAGAACAAGTCAAATTTCAAAGTAATGATGATAATTTTTTTTTTATATCCAAGGGATTGTTCACACTGATTGGGTGCCTGATGTCAGACCATTAACCAGGTCTACTATAAGGAGGTTTTGACAATCCTTTGTGAAAGGGTGACAAGAAAAAGACCTGAAATGTGAAAGAAGGGCTCATGGATTCTTCATCATGACAATGCACCAGCACACAGAGCATTGTCTGTCAAGACTATTCTGGTGAAGCACAAGATCCCCATGTTGGAACATCTACCCTACTCGCCCGACCTAGCCCTGTGTGACTCTTTTTTATTTCCAAAGATCAAGTCTGCATTAAAAAGAACCCGTTTTGAGTCCATAGATGTAGTGAAGGCAAATGTGCCGGAGGTAATGAAGAAGCTATCAGAAAAGGACCTGCAGCATTACTTCCAACTGTGGAAAATTCACATGTAGTGGTGTAGGGGTCAGGGAGAGGACCACTTTGAAGGTGACATTTCCATTGTGTGATTAGTTGAATAACAGATTTTAGAGCATCGGTCCTGTTATTTTATGGCCGCGCCACGTAAAAAGCAGTGAGAAACTTTTATGTGAAAGGAACAATAAGATTTTATTATCCTTTAAACAAAGAACATACATTATTCTAAAACTTATGCAACCCATCAATATAAACTTAGCCTTTTCCAGTGTTTCACATTGTTCGAAAAAAATGATCCAATCTGTTAGCAGTAGTTTCCTTACAATGCGGAGATCCAATATCACTACCAATCTTCTGATTCTTAATATGAGAGGACATTCAGAACGTGGTGACTTATGTTTACAGACTAAATAACATGACAGCCTTGATCAACAGGAATATAAAGAATGTCTATTATTACAAGCCATAATTACAGGATGGTTTCTGTGCATCAAAAGGGGGCATATGAAGATCTAGATCTTCATTGAGAGCCTTCCTTTAAAAGTTACAGCTACTGAAATTTAAACTTCTGTGGTAACACCTCAAATGCCACAGAAGTTCAACGGGTTATGCATGAGAATAAAAACGAAACCTCCTTATTTTCACTCTGTTGCATTAGGCGCTCTTTCAATGGCCTTCATGCTGATGGACACACAATTCCACTCTGTGTGAAAAAGAAACCTGCGAACACTGAATGATAATGCGTGTATTCCTTTGAAGTATACTGTTAAATACAAGGTGGTTCAAATATGACTGGGACTGATTTGTGTAAACATGCTGCACTGCACAGCAGTTGTGCAACCTTGAGAGAGTGAAGACACAACCTCCACCCTCCCTCCTGTTCAGGTTAGAACCTGTTCAGTCCTGTCTTGGAGTTGCTAGAGTGATGAGCGAACAGAAGGTACCACGGAGCGTGGAACAACGCATTGTGATCAAATTATCAAATAAACTGAAACTGAGGGTCTCACATTTTCTACACAATTGGCTCACAGATGGCGGTAAGGCTGTCAGCCTTAAGCACGAGACGGCCGTCCTATACCCTCAGAAAGATTCCTGGTACTAATTTCTGTTAGAGGCTGAGTCAACCCCAGGGCCATAGTGCAGCTGGAAGAATTAGGTCAACTGAAAAAATCCACCTCATTGGGAATCGAGCCCGCGACCTTCTGGCTTGTAGCATACTGCCTCAACCAACTATGCTACCGTTTGCCCCCCCTCCAACAGAAAGTAGAGTATAACAATTTGACACTCTACAATTAGAGTATTCTTTTTTGTATCTTATAACACCATCTGCAGCATTTCCATTACACTCTCCTAGCACAAGATGCATGTTTTCTAATTCAGGAAATCAACAGCCACTTTCCATGCTGGATCAGTATGCAACATGGTTTCCCCAACTTGAAATGTAATATGCACACATATATATCACTCTCATTGAGCTGAGCCCTTCTTGAGTAGTCACCATTTGTGCAGCTACTCAAGAATACCCCAGCATTTTATGGGACTCAAACATTCATTATGGTGTTCACAAGAGCGCCCTCCACTGGTTCCTATCCTGAACCAGAGCAATACATCCATACCATCACATCCTCTCCCTCTACGATCCATTTTAATACTGTCCACCCACCTACATCTTGGTCTTCCCAGTGGTCTCCTTTCTTCTGGCTTTCCCACCAATATTATATATGAATTCCCCCTCGCCCCCATTAGTGCTACATGCCCTACCCATCTCATCCTCCTTGACTTCATCATTCTAATTATACATGGAGAAGAGTACAAGTTACGAAGCTCCTCATCATGTAGTTTTCTCCAACCTCCTGTCACTTCATCTCTCTTCGGTCCAAAATATTCTCCTCAGCACCCTGTTCTCAAACACCCTCAGTTTATGTTCCACCCTTAATGTCAGAGACCAAGTTTCACACCCATACAGAACCACCGGCAAAATTATAGTTTTGTGTATTCTAATTTTTATGTTTTCTGACAGCAGACAAGAGGACAAAACGTTCTGAACTGAATGGTAGCAAGCATTACCCGAGTTCAGTCTCCTCTTAATTTCCTACTGAATCAGGTTTTGATTTCTTATAGTTGTCCCCAATTTTCTGAACTGTGCCACATTTTCAAAATATCTGTTAGCTATCTTTATATATCATGATTTTGCCCGGCATTTTCGTGACAAGATGGCAACATATACTTAATTTTCTTTCTTCATAGTTCTAGACCAAGCTCCTGACTAGTGTCAATTAAAGTTTGTGTGTTTTTCTTTATGGTATATCTATATTATCACCCAGTAGATTCACATCATCGGTATACACCAACACCTGATGTGTCCCATTTAATTTCAGTCCCACCTGGTTTTCTTGGACTTTCCTAATGGCATATTCTAAAGCAAAGTTGAAAACCAGTGGCAATAATGCATCTCCTTGTTTTAGACCACTCTGAACAGAAAAATTATCAGACAAATGTTTACCTATATGGACTTCACCATATGTTTTATTTAAACACATTTTAATCAGCCTGAGTAGTTTTGTGGGTATCCCAGACATGATGCGACTATTGTACAATACTTCATTCCCAAATGAATCAGAGGCTTTCTTGAAGTCTATGAATAGCTGGTGTACTGTCTCACTGTACTCTCATTTTTTCTCCCATATCTGACAAATGCAAAAGATCTGATCAATAGTTGATCTGTTATGTCAAAAACCACACTGATGATCCCCAATAATTTCATCTGTATATGAACTTACCTTTGAGAGAAGAATACTGGACAAAATTTTGTATGAAGTTGATAACAGTGATATCCCCTGATAATTACCACAGTCAGTTTTATCTCCCTTCTTGTGAACTCTTATAATAATAGACTCCTTCCACTGATCAGGCAATTTTTCCTTATGCCAAATAGAATTAATTAGCTTATGGATCTTAGAATGTAATATTTCATCTCCTGCCGGAATTTGATCACTACCTGGAGATTTATACCTTTTCAACTTTGCAATAGCACTTTCAACCTCAAAAGGGCTGGGATCAGGTACTAACGGCTCAGATGTATGGAATTCTTTCTGCCTAACATCACTGACCTTATGTACATTCAATAACTGAGAGTAGTAGTTCCTCCACCTATTCAAAATGCTGTGGGAATCTGCAAGCAGATCACCATTCTCATCCTTCACTAAGTTACTGCTAGGTTGGTAACCCCTCCTTACATCATTTATTCCTCTGTCCAGGTCTCTAATGTGCTTGTTCTTACTGTTCATTGCAAGTTCATCAATTTTGTCTTTCAGATATTCCCTCTTTTTGTTCCTGAAATGCCTGCTGGTTTTGCATTTTATATTCAGATTATCCCTATTTATTTCCCTTGGATCCAGTAACCACTGCAATTTGGCCTGCTTTCTTTGATCTGATAATTTTGAGCATCCTTCATCAAACCATGGCTTATGCTACTTCGGTTCATAATAACCTAGACTCTCTTTGGCAGAAATTTTTATATTCTCTGTAATAGTTTCCCAAGCTTTATCATCATCCACCTCAGTCTCTTAAGTGTTCCACACACACACACACACACATATATGTATGTGTATATATATATATATATATATGCAGAATATCTGAACAATTTTAAGTTCCTTTCTCATGTGGAGCTAAGTTGTGTGTTGATGAACATGATGGCCATATCTAGCACCTTTTGTAAGGAAGGAAAAATAAATGGTTAATAACCCATCAAGCCAGATTTTAAACCCCTATCAGAGGTACAGTGTAGCAGTATTTAAATGGCCCTGTACCATTTCTCAAAGCATTATTTGCTACTATACACTTTAGAAAATACTATAGGGAGTTTTATGAAATTTTCAAGAGGCACTGCAAATAGCCTGAACTTTCATGAAGCATAATATGTCACCCATTCCCAGGCCACACAATGTAGTAGACAGCACCATTTTGAGGCAGATGGTTTGAAGGTTTCAAAACACTTCTTACAGTTCCTATGATCTCATCCATTTGGAAGAAACAAGTACTACAGTGAAAACTATAATCTCTGGAAGTATAATGTTTCACTTAGATACTTCATTACAAGATGGCAGAGCAATGGTGATTTTTTGATCTTGCACACAACCCCTGCAACCCTGCAACTCAGGAGTATCTGAGATGTAACCATGGGAATTGAAATTAGATCAGCTGTAACATTTCTTGGGGCAAGTCCTTCAGGGCACACATTCGTATGAACGATTTACTTATTCTGATGTCCACACATCATTTTGTAAAATACGGCATGCAATCATGAGACAATATGTACAAAGAAAATTCTTATTCAAGTTTACTGCCTACTGATACAGGATAAGATGATGTGAAATGACATTAAAATTAAATGTCATGCACCCATAAAGAGATCTTTCCAAAGGTTTAGACATATGCCCACAAACTGGATTATTAATGGTAACATGCAAAACCTCATGGGTAACTGTATACCATTACAGGTAAAGGAGTTATCAAATTTATATATTGATAATTTTAAAGGAAATTCTTCTGTATGGAAGTCATATGAATAAACTGCATGACTATTATAATCATCCATTATGCCATTAAAACTCACCCCATTCCTTACATACCTGTTTTCCATCAACCTCTATGTCAGCCACATAATTTTCAAAAACAGTAGGAACATACACTTCTGGAAACTGATCCTTACTGAAAACTATGAGCAGACAAGTCTTACCGCAGGCACCATCTCCAACAATGACAAGTTTCTTCCTTATGGCAGCCATGATTTCTGAAAAATGAATCTATCTATAAAAACTGCAATTTAATTTACACATTACATAAAATTTTTCTATAAAACAAAAAAAAAAAACTGTGGTCTTAGCCCGCAAGCAAACTATACTGACTGAGTAACTACCACTTTCCGGAGAAGTTACTGCCAAATATTGCGGATAGAGGGTGTTGCGTAGTCAGTGCAATGGATCCCCATGGCCGTTAAACTTGGTTTTATAGACCAGAGCCGCTAATTTTCCATTCAAGTAGCTCCTCAGTTATGCTCACGAGGCTGAGTGGACCCCATTCCAGACCCATCACTTCTCAGAAAATCTGGTAGTGCCGGGACTCGAATCTGGGACCTCTGGGTCTGTAGCCAAGAACTCAGACCACTAGACCACAAATGGCGATATTCAAAACCATCATTTTATTTGCTTCGAGTGTTACATTCTACATTTGCTCTCAACACTATACGTATTGTAATGTTATACAGTGACTATAGACAGGGTTTGGATTGGTGATTGGATTTAGTGAACTTACAGATCGTAACTGCAAGTAACTACAGCACTACCAGTAATTCACATCTTCTGCAGTTCATTGCAGCACATATAGGTCCTCTCAGCCTGTTGCGTCATCAGTTGTTGCCTGGTGACTGATCCAACAATGTTCTCTGCTTCAGTGCTCACATTCTTACTGGCTGGTGATTGCCTCGCAACTAACTTATTGCTCCAATTGTCCTGTTTATAACACCTTGGCATGGACAGCACAGAAAACACCATTCCTCTGTTGCTGTATCCAATTGTTGTTTGTGCAGCCATCAGTGTGGGTCATGCAGAAAACACCACTACCCTGTTGCTGTTTATGGGCCATTGCCTAATAAAGGCTGTCGTTTGTTTGTTTCCCAGTCGTTGCCTAGCAGTGGGTGTACATGTCATTTTTGAACAAATGAACAGCGAAGAGGTACAGTCGTGGTCTATTTTAAGATGGGCATTTGCTTTCCAAGGTAAAATGTAAGCTACCGTGCCGAGACCTGTGTGGCAATGAGGGAGCAGTGTTGTGAAGAGCACCTGTGGAATACAAGGTGACCTCCCACTGAATCTTGCCCTCGCCCCTCATTTAGAGATCTTTGGGGGGCTGTGCTTCCCTAGCTACTTGTGGGATGATGTATGAATAAGGATGTTGAACAGCTGTTGAAAAGGGCTAGTGTAAGGGTCTCTGCAGATTTCCAACAACCGTCTAGCTCTACTGGGGCCAGGGAAGATGTATCCATTAAACCCTCCACAGAGGGCCCTGGATCCTCTCTCACCACATCGAACGGCTCATATGATGGGTCTTCTGCTGAACTGGGGTAGCAGTCAAAATCTTCCAGGAGCTCTGGCAAGAAGTTTACTGATGGGGAGGCTGAAAGAGGTCTCATGATGGGGGGTACTCAACCTGGTTATTGAGAACAGATTCAGCACACAGAAGTGGGCCAGAAAGTGGAAGGTTCTTCTCACAAAAGCTGAGGGCTTGGTTGGAGGCTTTGTTAAGAGTCCAGCTGAGATCAGCTCTACTGTCAGTAGATGGCTGGATATACCCACCATCAGTGGATTAGGAGAAGAGACCTAGCTGAAGATATCAATCAGAATTAGTGGATAACTGGAAGCAGGCATTAATGTGGAGAATGCTGCTTGATGGGGAAGCTGTCAGTCTATACCATGATACTTTCCCATCACGAAGGGCAATGTCATATATGTGGATAAATGAGCTAAAGGAGCATTCCAAATTCAGACCAAGGGTGGGAGCTGGTCTGCAAGGTGTGCAGACCAACTACCTTCCCATGGATCCCTGAAGTAGTGCAAGCTGTCACCATTCTGAGGAGATTATAAAGGCAGAAACAGGCTCTCAGGACTGGCTTATGGTGAGTCTATGGTCATTGGCCAGGATTCCCTAAAGAGGTGTGGCTTGGGTTTGATCACAGACGATGCTTCAGTCCAAACCATAAGGCTCAGCCTATCATGCTATATTACAACATGCAGCAAGTAACATTTATGGTGTGGGACATTATGAAGCAGGTGGGAAGGTATTTTTCGTGGTTATCTGAAAACAGGGATCTTATTCCTATGGATTAACCCGTACCACAGTAAAGCAGCCACATGAATGAAAGACCAACTGCAGAGCAAATAAATACTACCCTAATGCAAGAACCCTAGGCCTTAAAGGTGGTTTAAAAGGCCTCATCAGGAGCTTGTCAAGTTTGGTATTTGACTGTTGGCTTGCCTATACAGAAAGACCCAGGGCATATGCTTAATACACCAGATATGGCTTAACAACAATTCTTGCTCTTTGCAACATGAATATGACATCCTGGTGACAGCAGAGAGTGGTGTCATGTTCATCACAAAGCAGAACCTCTGTGATTTAGAAATATGGTGAAAGTGATGAACTACTGCTGTGAAAGGCAACTCTCTTATTTTCATATGTGATGCCAATTTCTACCATGCTGCAAGGGGAAGTTCTGATGTCAATCCTCACGGTACAGTACCGCTGGAGTGCCTAAAACTACAGATTTAGAAATGCAAGAAATCAAGGGGAAGAGCCATCCTTCCTTACTGAGAGAACATGGGAAATATCAGATCTTACTCTGTGTTCTGGAGAACTAGTAAGTGAGGTCCATGTACGGAGGGTATTACCAAAACTGTCAATATACTTCTTTTCTTTTGAAGACAATGAACAGGTTGGTGGATAGATTACATAAGACAGAGTCTTGGTAAGACACCAAATGCATTTACAATACCATGTATACAAGATCTGTTGATAAGACCTAAAGTCTGTGATGATATATCAATAATTTCTTGACTTTTTGTGCATTATTCATCATCTTTTTTCATTTAAAAACGTTTCAGAGACTAGACTCTGTCCCCGTCTGCAGGTAAATTAAAAAGAGGATGATGGATAATGACCAAAAAGTCAGTAACTGCAGATCTATGGAGATGGTTCTCCATAATTCTGTTTAAGTGACTGAGACAGCACCTGAACATGGGACTGTCACCTTGGGAGTTGTTCTGGATATTGAGAGCATGTCTGATATCACTTATGTGTAAAGTGTGAAGCAGTTACAGAGTAGTGGGGGAGAGGGATCTGAGTCATGCTTGGAAGCTGGCAGATTGTGGCAGCCCAAATCAGCTGCATGAAGACTACATTGACTGAGGATGTTGGAACAGCAGTTTTATCCCCTTGTTGTGGAATCTGGTGGTGACGGGCTCCTGGCACAGTTCAGTGGGAAGATCTGTATAAGCAAATACTGATGACATGACTTTGTTGATATCTGCAATTTTTTAGTACTGTCTCAGACCTCATGCAAAGGCCTCTGAACACAATACTAAGATGGTGTGAGACCAAGGAGCTATCTATTAATTCTGACAAAACAAAAAATGTGCTCTTCACCAAGTGAAAAAACAGATGGGTTCAAAGAACATGTTCTAATAGACTGAGTCATATATTCTACATGGTTGGTGAAGTATCTGAGGGACATCCTGGATCCTAAGCTGACTGGCAGGGAGCATACAGTACAACAATATAACTTACTCTTCTATCTGGTTATGTCATAGGATCCTCAGTTGACCTAACTGTTCCAGCTGCATTATGACCCTGGGGTTGACTCAGCCTCTAACAGAAATGAGTACCAGGAAACATCCTGGGGGGTAAGGGGTGGCCAGTGTGTAAGGCTGAAAACCTTACCCCCATCTGTGAGCCAACTGTCTAGACAGTGTGGGATCCTCACCATCTCACAACCCTATGGGCCTCCATGGCCTGTTACAGGGATAGCTTTACCCCCCCTCTCTTGGTTTAACTTTGTTATCTACAGAAGCTAGCATTTATACATATCACTGGGCTCAAGTATGGCTCTCACGTCTGGCCTGAGGTTCTAGTTTGTCTCGCTCCCTTTCATCTGATGGTAGTGCCTGAGGCCGGGGCTTTGGCATACAGGTGGTTATTATTACTGTTATAAATTACATTACATTACATTACATTACATTGCATTCCCTGGATCCAGACTCAGTCAAAATGACTGTAGGATGTGGAATATGTCATATAAATAAAAAAAAAACATATGTACAGTACAACTTAAGGATTCACACAAGAAAACACAGTGGTTACAGTTTTTGTCACAGATGCTCCAGCTAAATGCAGACCAATGATTTGTCCTCTTTCACAATCGGACAAGTATCCCACTGTCCAATTCTTTGACATGGACTTTCACTCAAAATAATCAATACTGAACTTACATGAGCACTACAGATTGTAAGCAAATGGAAGAACATTCAGCACTGCCAACTGAGGTTCTTTCAAAGCAGCCAACAGACACAAATTCTATTCCTCGATTTCTTAGTGTTTCCATTAGTTTGTCCAAGTCCTGTATTTATGATCTATCCAAATAACTCATGCCTAGTTCATTAGCTTCAAAGTCAAAAACTAAATACAATTTTCATATGGCCACCATTTTGTAACTTCATATTTGATGAGAAAATAACTTTATCAAAACTTAAGACATATTTCAAAGATCTACCACATATCATATAAGGATTATACATTATTGTTCTCATATCACAGTCTCATGCATCTACCATGTTAAGGGGCCCATACACGTATTAGTCTGGCTCGCGAGTCCGACTCGGCTCGGATTCCAATCAGCCAAACTAGTCCATATGTAGGTCGCAAAGTTGGGAGTCAGCTCATGCATTTGTGTTGACATTAATCTGAGCCCGGCTCCCGAGTCAAGCTCGCCGAACCGGACTCCTACATGTATGGGCCCCTTTACTACTGACCACAGAAAATTAAATGCACAGCAACTGGGTGGCCTGCTCTGGCATAAAAATCATACCAAGTCTTGTGAAAATCAGTCAACTGGTTCAAAATTTGAAAGGTGTCACAGAGAGACACAACTGATGACATGATCATCTCATAATCATACTTCATTCATTTAAAAAAAAAAAAGGAAAACTGGTTAAGAAAATGGAAAAATGAAGTCAATGGAAAAGGTTAATATAAAGAGATCATCATATAAAGTGACTAAGCTGAAAACCGTAAACAGGCAAATCATTAAAACTACTCTGCAGTAGAACCGACGTCCAGTCCCTACACATATCACTGAATGTAAGTTGTAGAGGAGAAATGGCCTATCTCAGAAACGACGTAGTTCTGAAAAAAACACATCCTAAAGTATCACACAAAACCCATAAGCACTGGTCACGCCTCTTCTCAAGTCCATAATATAAGAATGCTGTCAGTTACAACCCCATGTTAGGTGGGTCCCTTGTCACCACAGCATGGCACGTCCTCAGGTTGTGGATGGAGGAGACGCCCTCCAGGTATGGAGGGCAGCTGTGAATATATTGAATTAGTAGTTGCAGACAGCCAACAAGGGGTGGTCCTTCAACTTGGGGGTTGGGCATGGGGCTAACAACTCCTCACTGTAAAAAATAATCTTGTTATGAAAGTTCTCAAGAGGCCTTGGACCTGGAGGGCTCTTGTGAACATGGTAATGAACCTTCGGATTCCATAAAATGCTAGGAAATTCTTGAGTAGCTGCAGATCTGGCTTCTCAAGAAGGGCTCAGCTCCATGAGTAAGTAAGTAAGTAAGTCAGTTACAACCACAGTTTTCCCTGTGCTTAATTAAGCACCATGCCATGATTAAAGATGAGGGGGGGGGGGCTGAAAGTAGCTTCAACATTCTTAACATCTGCACCAGATAGAGGTGAGTGTATAGTCACCCTTGCTGCTTTATCCCCAGGGAAAGAATCCATGGTAACCACTGCATAGGAGGTCGTCATGGTGGGCCCCAGAGCTGGTTTGGATTCTGTGGAGAAGAGAACAATCTCTTGGCCATGCTGGAAACTGAACCCTAATTCCTTGGTCATCCAGCCTGTAGCCTGTCATTATACCACTGAAGCTACAGTAACAGGCCCATTAAATTAAATAGCTTACCTAATGCAACTAGTAAGTGCAGTAATTATATACCTATTAAAATTTTGGTATTGTAGGAAACGGGGACTCTTTTAATACAATGCTACTGTACCATTCATTTGATACTAATAACAAATCAAGTTCAGAGAAATATATGGCAGAAACCCTTCTGGGAGTTTAGTGACCTCAATTCACTAGTGACCAATAATTACTGTGTATGGTAGTGTTTGGCTATGACATTTATGTGAAGGATTCAACCTGGAGACACTTTCGTCATAGGTTCAGACAGATATTTATTGATGATTTTGTTCACAGATATGCATGGTCATGAGGAAAGAAACTATTATCAGTACCATCTTATAAGGTTTATGGTCTCCTCTGGCATTAACAAAATTTAACCATGACAGTGTGGCACATGGCAGTATTGTTGGTTGAGGCACTATGTGGCAAGCTGGAAGGTCCAGGGGTCAGTGGATTTTTCAAGTGACCTAATCCTTCCAGCCACACTATGGCCCTGGGAGTGACTCAGACTCATAACAGAAATGACCACCAGGAATCTCCCTGGATGATAAAGAGCAACTGGCGCATAGGGCTGACAACCTTACTGTCATCTGTGAGCTGTCTAGGAAATGTGGGAACCTCAACCTCTCACAACCCTATGGGCCTCCAGGGCTAGCTTTACATTTCACCTTTTAAACAAAACAGTATGTGTATCATAACTAAAGATTTTATAGTGCTACTACAGGAATATCAAATTTGACGTGTGCAATATAATCTACATACCAGACACATATCAACGAGGTAGATGTTGATAATACGAAGAAAGTGACATTGTGTTTTTAAATGTTAAATTTTAGACTGGGTTCAGTGTGGCAGCAACGTTAAGATTATACACCTGATGATGGCCGATAGAGGCCGAAACATGCAGTGTAGAAAGAACAAGATCAAAGACATATAATATATATTGTTTGCACTTGGGACAGAGCTTGTATCATTTATAGTATGTGCATATTGGAGAAATAATCCCTCTGCCACTGACAGTCTGACTGTCTTGTTTCCTACCTTCACTTGCACTGGCATAAATGTAGCACAATTTGAACAAGTTAAAATTTGAAGAAATCTGAACCTGAAGACCCTTCCCCTATTTATCATACAGGTCTAGTTGGCTCTAAGTAAACATAAATTCAGGTAATGTGAAGTCTAGGAACATTACGACTAGACAACCCTAATACCTTCTCTTTGTGTGTTCACTTTACAACGCTGTATGCTAGACTATATAGCACTGAAATGACAGGGTGACTGGTTAATAACAAATTGGAAAGGATTTAAAGGAAACAATCTTCCTGGATGGACTGAGGAAAAACACAAAAACATCAGTCAGGAAAGCCGGTGTCCCAACCAAAATTTGATCCAAACTCTGAATTAAGTGAAATGTTAGAAAGGTAAGGAGATTAGAATGGCTTCAAATAGTAAAATATTTAACATAGTATTCCCTCAAGAAATTATGGGGAATTGTATGGAAACAATTCGGGGCAACCTATGTATTTAAGATGAATATAATAGGAAAAATCTTCACATACTAACAAAATGAATGGAATCAACAAACTCTTTAACATAGTTTGCCTTCATGGAGCATGGAATTTCTTACTTGCTTCAAATTAAGTATGTCACAATATGTCAGGCCATTTGAGTGGCAAATGTAATATTATTTCACCTGTTAGCTTTAATTAATTCTGCAGAAAATGTAGCAATTTGGGTTTGCACAGTGGTGTCCGGGTTTGACATTTACCAATACTCTTGCATATTATTTCTAACGTATCTCCCAACATGTCTATAAGTCAGAAACTGCAATTACTTTAAATACTAAATAACTAATTAAATTAAATATTTTACCTATCAGAATACACTATGCGGCCCAAGTTGTTTCAAAAGATGGCTGAAATATTGTGGACCACACCTCAATTCACTTCTGATTAACTCAAGACTTCCGATACAAACTGAGAATCCTACAAACTACATTACAAGACTTCTCACAATGTTAATACGACACACAAATTTCAATTCAAGGTATTACTTATTACAAACAACATAAAAAATAAACTAACTGAACCCACTTCCCAAACACACATTACTTGCATAACCAACCACTCCAGCAACCAACTAACCTTCAATTCTTTGCGACGTTGCAGTTCTAAAATTTTCAGCTAGGCTGAGAGAGCGCGGAGTAACAGTCACAAAAACGAGCAGAACCGTGCTAATTGGAAATCGGTTTATAAAGCTAATATGACATATAACAAAATCCCAATAATACGTACAGCACTATATGCCAGCAGGATACTTATTAAAATAAATTTTGCTCAACAAATGCTTTTGTTAGTATTATAATAAATATCATGCCATCAACTGCTCTGAACTCTCTGAACGCTCCCACCTGCTGTCATCGTAGAATGCAGCATTCTAGCTCTTCTAGCTACACGGGTCTTGAAGAGATACATTGCACAGCTGACTAAACCACTGATGGAATGACGACTTTAATTTTGAGAACCAAACAAAAATAATCGGCGACTTGACTGTTGCTGAGGGGGATAACAGCAACATGTCCACAACGAAAAGAAACTGCCATGTGTTTCATATGTTAACTTTTACTGGGGCCGATAACAGCAGCAGGTCCACACTGCCATACAATTCATATTATCTAAAAAATTTTCTTTGTAGTAACGTAACGAGATTTTCGGTTTCACGGCGAAGATGGACTGCGAAAAAATTACATTTAATATAGCATTACAATGCTCTTAAATATTCAAAATTTCCTATCGAGCATTTTTGGAGACAAAATAAATCCCCCGTAACTAAACCCCGAAGTCCCGCCAGGGTACCAATCATATGTAATCAGCGATTTTGTGGACACAATAAAAATATCACACTTTCTGTTCATCAACTTCTTGTGGCCTATGCTGCTTGTTCGTCAATTTCCTTGGGTGGCATGAAGTCAGACAAATTTCCTTTAAATCGAGAAATTGACAGTATGTCACAAATATACCCGTCTTCCCTTTATTCATGCGAGCGCACGAGAAAAATGCCGAGCAAGAGTGGTATTCACAGAAGGTCTCATGGTTGATATTGTGATATGTAAGGGCGAGGGAACACCAAGGAAACTGGCAACGGCAACGCAACCGCAATTTTCGAGAATTGTTATCAACCTGAGTTGAACACATGTTACTACTGCATGGAGCAGCGCAAATTAAGGGATGGGTAACGCAGTTGACCAAGGTACTGTTCATAAAATGGATTCAAGGAAATCAGGGTGAACGCATTATACACGTCGCTGGAAAGGCGAAAGAAATATCTAAACATTCTCTGTGAAAACCTTGCAGAAAGAAGGCAATTGGAAAATAGAGAAGAGCAGGTAAAATAATTCATTTTATGAGTTTGTTAGTGATACCACTGGCAGTAACACCATAAGAGTGGGTAAAATAATTCGTTTTACGAGTTAGTTAGTTATGCCACTGGTAGTAACACCATTTTGTAAGCCATTCTGACCGGAGAAGACTAATGACACATTAAGCCAATTACGGAGGTCCTGAAACTAAATAAGTCGACATTGTGAGGAAGATATGAAACTCTGCATCTACATCATGATTTCCTCCTTATTCGGCGTCGGTGTCCAGTTCTACGAACACACCGATAGCATGACTGCACGTAGCCAGTGAATGACAGCTGTTTCGCAGAGGATTCTGAGGACCTGACTCTTGGCAGGGCCATCATCTGCTGGTTCCGATTCGGGGCTGATAGATTTAGTTTTGGCCCGATGGGAAGAGCAGTTTAAGGTCTTCTTTCGCCACCAGAACACACGATTCACTATGGAGATGGAGAGAGACTGCCATCTTTTATTCTTAGGTATTATTATTTACAGGCGACCTGGTGGTTGTCTGGGATATAAGGTGTACCGTGAACACATCCACAGCTTCTACCACAACTCCGTCACGCATGAACACCTATTCCAAATCACGCCACACTTTGTTTTATTTCACACGGCCAGAGTTCTGTAAAATCGGGACAGCCTATAAGATCAACTGAATGTTTCAAAGGGTACTTTCGGGCTACAGAGATCGACAGATTCGTACGGCTTTTATACTTTGCTGAGAGGTTGCTTCATCCAGTGAAATTACGGACTGAGTCAACTTTTTGTTCTGTGTCAAATTGACCATCTGTAACAGCAGGGTACTGACCTGACATAATAACAAGTTAGACGCCTTTCGCATAGAAAAATCGCTAGCTTCCTTCAGTTGGTCAAGGACGACTTAGGATTGAAGATATCGGAAGTACAACTTCCCTTCTGAGGGTTGCCATGTATACAGTTGATAGAGAGGACTTTTGGCTATCGCTGCGCGAACCATCGGCATACAAATCTTGATCCGGACAAGTAAGCTGTGACGGGGCACACAACTAACCTTTAACGTCCAAAATGCCTCGATCGAGCCAGTGATGAACAAAGGGACGAAACAATTCTATTTTACATAATCGGAAATATATTGTGATTTGGATGGCGCAACAGGAAGTAGGGGTCGCCTAAACTCTGCGGTCTCGCCACTGACGTCACATACCCCCAATCCTTCCATCATTACGCAACGCTCAGTAAACACTCCCTCCTCCGTGGTGACGTAACAGAAGAGCAACTGTGTCAGGCAACAATTGCCGAGGTGACGTAACAGCATAGAAGACGCTGCCGCTGCTACGGTAACAGGGCAGTAAACACTCCGCCCCCCCCCCCCCCGANGGAGTTCCCACTGTGGGGTAGCAGGGGACACCGCTGTTAACACGGGGCAACAGCGAACGGTATAAAAGGCCGCTTGATCAGTGTGTGTGCCAGTGTGTGAAAAAGAGTGACAGAGTACGGATTGTGGGCCCAGTGAAGACTTATTGTGTGACTTCAAGACTCTGTGTGCTGTAGTACAGTTATATTGGGAGTGTGTAATTAACCTTTAACGTCCGAAGTGCCCCGATTGTGCCAGTGTTGAGTATAGCCATCGTGGCCAAAGTACCACGTTTGGTCAGTCGGGCATTTAAACTCCGCTAGTGGAAGCGCGCGCACACGTCGCTAGTAGAAGAGCATGCACAGTCCTAAATATATATTTTTATATGTAGTAATTACCAGAGAGACTTGAGTAAAACCACAATAGAGGAATTAAAATGATAAAGAAGTGAACAACAGTAAAAAAAAAAGAGAATACATATGGGTTATGCCCAAACTCATCCACGAGCCACAATTTTTATTGCAGATTCTGCAGATTAATGTGTAAAAATAAATAGAAAAATTAGATGTACATAACTTTTTTGTTGCTATCTGCTTGATGTATATACAGAGTGTTTGAAGATTTTGGGCATAACTGCATGAGGTCATTACCTAGGACTTTGTGATCAAAGAAGTTCATATAACCATGTGCATGATTTTAAACGGTTACAGAGTTATGACCGTTTATTCATTTCCGTACACCGCCTCGTGTGTACCGAGTAGGCCATCTGGAAGATAGCTTTTTTGCCAGCTACAGACAGAGCGTTCTCGTTATCTCGTCACTTAAGAGGTAACAAAGGCATGGTGGGTTGGCATGTCCGGCGCTGTTCACAACCGAGCGGAAGCCTGTCTTGAGGACGGCGGTGTTATTCTCGAAAATCAGCTTTAAGCAGAAATAAATTCAAATTAAAGGTAATTCCACGAAGTTAACTTTACATTCATGTATTAAATGTATCAGGTATTATGCTGGTTTATTTTATTCCTTTTATTGTAAGGTTAGGTTAGGTTAGGTTAGCTCATACAATACTGCGCATCCATCTGTAACTCAAGGGTACCATTAGATGACATTGGGTTACGTTAGGTTAGGTTTGCGCAAGTAGACTACTGCGCATCTATCTGTACCTCGAAGAGGGAGAACCTTGGTAATATACGTTAATGTTAGGTTTTGAGTATACATTATGACAGGTGTGGACAAATGTCTACTGCGCATCGTTAAACTCAATTGTTCTATGTTTCGCCGTCGGCAAGATCTTACGATTGAATGTCTCTGATAGCGTAGGAAATCATTATATATTTATACATGACATTTTTTCCAGAATTTTCTTACATGATAAAAACTTGCATATATTTCTCTTAAAACTCTCTACGAAATCTATGAACCCTGGAATATATTACGATATTTATAATGGTCGTCAATGACTTTTTCCCGAAATATTGACATTTCAGAACGCTCTCAAGTGCATGATATCACAATTATCTTCATTGACTCTTACAATTTCGACCAGTACCCGAAATATTCTCTTTTCAAATGTTCCCATTATTAATTTTGTTATGTTTATCGACGTATTTTGAGTATCTATATATATATACTTTATATGAGAGGTATCCACCCCACAATACTAGAGTTCAAATATTCCATCGTGAAATCACTGATTACGATCTGAACCTAAGGAAATTTCATTCAACATTCTTCTAAGCAAAACAAAAAAAACGAACACATCACTATATATGTTCAAGACTAAACTATAAAATACAATTACAGGAATGTCAGCTGTAACAACTCCTGCTTTCCTGTAAACTATGTGATTTTGTAAGCAGTTTAATAGATGGAAAGAAAATAATTACCTGATGCTGTATACAACCTGCTAGCACATGTAAGCCTGGAACATTAGATGGCAATAATACAATCCGTTGTCTATGACAAGGAAATACACATCTAACTTACAAACCCCTTCCCACCATTCTTCATGCTACCACATATACTCTACACACCACTGTGCACATTTTACACTCACATTCAACACGATTGCCAGCATAACACCAATGACATGTTTTTCGCCTTGCATACCACCTTGTTAGAAGGAAGAATTCTTCATGCAAACAGGATATGTATATAAAAGAAGAAAAATTGAATCCATTTTGAGTGAATGTTAATCTCAACATTCTAGAAAAAATGCAAAATTTCACTGCACTTCACTGTATATATTACACACAAAAATATAACGTCTCATTAGAGTATTTAAACTTCACATTACACTCGACATTATTGTGAAAAAAAAACACATTCCATTTGACCCACCACCCACTGTCACACAGAACTAAGTTATAAATTAAAAAAAAAAACTTCTTCAATGGGAACTAGA